TGGTGGCCCTTGGTGGCCCTTTTGGTGGCCCTTGGTGGCCCTTTTGGTGGCCCTTGGTGCTGTGTGACACGGTGGGGACCCTGCGCGGGGCGAGGGAGCCCGGCCGGGCCACGGGCGCACACACACACGGGTGGGCACACCCACCCAACCCCTCCCCACGGGTACCCCCAACCCGCACCCGCGAGTCAGAGACTCCGTGGAGGAGAAAAAGTGGGTGGGGAGGAAGAGAGAGAGAGTTAAAAAAAATATATAAACCCGCAAAAAAAACCCCAACAAAACACAAAAAAAAAAGAAAAAAAGAAAAAAGAAAAGGAAACGATCTCTAAATTATGTTAATCTGTGAACATTTGGGGACACTTTGGATTTTTTTTTCACCCTGGCAAAAGTGATCGCTCCAGCCTAACGTCATCTGCCGCTGTCAGTTTTGCTACCTTGTGCATGTGTCTAACTAAACACGTTTTGAAGATCAGAAATATATTAGAACGAAACGAAACAAAACAAATAGTAATAATAATAAATAATAAATCCTTGGGGCTGGTCTCCATTAAAGATGACATTTCTTTGTTGCCAACAGTATTATTTCACTGCCATGAATCTCTTCCATCACCGAGGAGCTGCTGCTGCAGAACTGGTTTGAATTTAAATGTGGAATTTCAGATCTGAGGCAAGGCAGTTTTTGTTGTGTTTTTTTGGTTGTTGGTTTTTTTTTTTTATTCCCCTTTTCTTTCCTTAAAAAAAAAAAGGCAAAAAAAAACAACAACAAAAAAAGAAGCCAAAAGCAGCAATAACAAAAAAATGTGTGTCTCAAATGGCTGTGTCCTTTGAAAGGAGGAAAAGAGAGGGACTAGAATTTGCTAATTGTTAGTGCCAACGTGAAAGATGGGGACAATAAGAAATGCACCTGTTTTGCCAGAGTCACCTGAACTCAGTGAGCTGCGTTGTGCCATGGAAACAGGTCGTTTGGGGGTTGGTTTTTTTTCCTGTTTTCTATTCCAAATGTCTGGATCTTTGAATCAAAATCTCACTGTTTTAAGGATGTAGAAAGAATGACTTATACAACAAAGATGGACATATGTTTTTAAGGCATTATACTGATAAAGCATTAATTTAGTAAAATGCAATTAAGTGCAGTAAAGTGCAATACTGTAAATATTATAGATTAAAAGAAAAATAGCCGTACTTATTCTGTTCATTACTGATTCTGCAAGAACCATAACTTAAGTCCTTTATGCTCAGACTGATGCATTGCTCCTTGCCAAAATGACAGTCTGGGTCTTCTGTGAATGGATAAAGTTATACTTATCAATATGGGAAAAGGGAGATGCCATGATTTCTAGTCGAGTTAATGTGCCAGATTTCTGGGAAGTAAGCTGAAAAGTCTGTATGATGCTTTCACAGTCATTTTAAGTGAAGAAAAAAACAAACAAACAAACCAAAAGCAACCCACAGAAGTGTTTTGTAGAGGTGGACAAGTTCAGTATTTGGCCATATTAGTGTTTGCCTGTGATTTAGGCACCAAGTCTTAAGCTAATGCTTAAGGAAAATTACTGTAAGTGCAGAAAGGATGGGGAGTAGGGAAACCCTTGAAGTTATATTGCCAAAGTGTCTGGGTTTACTGAACCCCTATTTTTACTTTGATGCTATTCACTCCTAGTTAGTTTATTATTATTTTTTTTTAATTTTTGGTGGGGAGGAGAGAGGAAGGTACAAATGCTGGTCTTGTCTACATCTAACAAGATGGCTCTTTGTTGCCTTTGTTGCCAAGGCCTGTGCTATTGGGTGGTTATCCTCTGAAAAGTACCATCATTAAGCCTGCTTTTTATATTTCTTTTACCAATTCATTGCTAGTTTTGGCTTTCGCTGATATTCATCAAATTCAAATATTACTATAGGACAAAAAATATAACACTTTAGATAAATTGGAAACACCTTCTTTTTTTGTTTCTCCTTCACGTTTTGCTATTTTATTGCAAGTAACATTTCTGGCATGTCAAAGTTGTGCTATTTCCCTTCTATTTATTACATGAGAAGTAGTTATATTTTGGATTAGCTGACAAATGTTATCTGCCTTTTCTACCTCTCTGTGAAAGCCCCAATACCTTTCTAAAGCGAGGCCAAAATATTAAGGTAGTGTTACTTGTTGCTGAGAAGTATGGACAAAAATCTCAGGCAATTAACCATTTTTTAATCCAAATTAAACATTACCTAGAAAGTAAAATGTTATTCATGATGATGTCTACATTTCTGGCTAAAATAAGAAATATTTGGAGTGGTTCCAGGACTTCTAACATGCAGATCCAAAAAATAACAAGCATTACTACAGAGATGCTTTAGGCTGTAACAAGTGACCTGTTGTACTGGAGACCCACAGCCATAGAAGGAGACTTTGACACACAGTGTTGAAGACTGAAGGTCACAGAGCTTTTTATTGAATGGGGACTGTTTGTTATCTGTACCTGTCATCTAATTACTACCCTTTCAAGTTCTCATTTGAGAGTTTAAGAGGGGCTTCTGTGATTTCTTTTTTCAGTCCTATGCTGGACTTTCAGAAAGGAGTGATTTTCACCCTGAAATCGTTCCATAGAATGGGCTCAGCTGAAGCTGGAGGTGTGGGATCTGATTTTCTCAGACATCCTCTAAGTGAGGCTGTGAAGTGCTACTGATCATACAGTGTTACAGGATGCATGAACAGTATGTATCCACCTCGTATTCGAAGGAATAACTTTTTCACCTTTGTTGTTTCACTAGGTACCAACACAGCCAAAATGCTTGTAGATTTCTCTCGGAAATTTTGCTACACACAGCTTCTTTCTTGTAATTAAAAACTAGTGGTACTGTGGTTACAGTTCCCTGCTAACATGAAACAAGGCTGGCAGTGTAGCACGTGCATCTTTACAGGAGGAAAAATTCTTATAGTTTCTTCTGGTTGCTTTCAATGGATGTCTCAAGGACAGTTGTTCTTGCTTTCTGCTGCAGAAGGGAAGAAGGTGGCAAGATTTATCAGCTTAGCCTGTTTTGAAGCAGATACCATAGATCAGCCTGGGAAAAGGGGCAGGGTGTTGCTGTGAATCTACCAAGGCACCTCACGCTGCTCTCAC